AAAAAAAAAAAAAAAAAAAGAATTCTTCCTGCTTTACAAAGAACCTGAGTCCTGGTGCAGTGAGATGAGGACTTGCTCAAAGCCTCTCAGTGCTGGAGCCAAGAATTCAACCTGCATCATGAACATCAAAGCTCCAAGTCTCTGCACACACCAGCCTGCCTCCTGGGAGGAAAAGCCCGGAGCTACTCAGCAGAGAACATTCTAGCCAGTTGAGGAAATCAAGACCCACAAAAAGGAATGGATTTGTTCAAGGTCTCCTTTAGCTTAGAAAGAGAACTGGGGCCAGGGCTTCTGGCAACTGGGACTTGGGTTGAGGCTGAGCCAGGTCCTTAGGAAGCCTTCTGGCTGGGACCCACGGAGCCCCCATACCATGCCCAAAGCATATCTGAACCTGAAACCCAAACTAGAGCCCCAATACTGTTCCACAGAGCTGGGGCACAGACCTGGGTTCGAGAATCAGCTCAGCTACTTTAAACAAGTCACCTCTCAGTCTTTGCTTTTCTAAATACTCTAAATAGCATTGTCTTGAGGACCCAGGGACAAACCACCTCAGGACAACTCCAACAGGGTAACAGGGAGGTAGACCTCTAAAGAAGGGAGGAGCTGAATTCCAAGGGGATAATTTCCCTGTTGAGTGACAATGAATGTGACCCTGTACATGTTCTCCATAAGACAAAGAAAACCCTGTACCATCCATGTAAAGCTCAGACACCTCAAGGTCCTGTATGTCTATGGGGGACACAGCCATGGCCCATGACAATATAGACTCCCATAATCCCCACATGATGGGTCCACCCGGTGCCAGGACACAGGGACCAACTCTGAAGCCTCACTGGCCTCCCCTCTGGCAGGAGTAGGGGCTGCATCCTCCAAGTGGGCTGGGTCCAGGGAATACCCCTTCACTCCCTCATCGCCCCCCTTTTGTCCCCCACTGCGGAGGAGGCCCCGAAGCTTCCTGGCAGCCCCCAGCCCTGGATTTGCCCTGCCACCGCCTGGGCCCTCCCCCTGYATTAGCTCTTAAGCTATGCAAATAGACATCCGAGGGAGCCCTGTTTAAAGTATTTAGACGAAATGAAAAAAGGCTTTCATCGGCACTAATGAGCCATTCAGGATGCCTCCCCGGTGGATTCTCTCCCGCTCCCGCCTCCCAGCCCTGGCTGCATCCCCCCTGCGGTCCCTCTTGGGATTGGAGGCCCCGCCCCCAGTCTAAGCCTGGGCCTCCCAGGGAGGGCTGCTTCCCCAGCCGGCCTCCTCATCAGGGCCCAGTTGGGTGAGGGTACCAATGAGGGCCCGTGTGCCCCGCCCCCGGAGATCTGGGTCCACCCTGGGGCTCAGCTTTTGTTTAGAGGAAGCCATAGGACTGGGGCCTGTTCTACATTCAGCTAGGTAGGTGCTGTGGTCTCTGGTAGCTGTGTCAAATGAGGTTTCAGAGAGGCCCAGGAGCCTGCCCAGGGTCACCGGTCTGGGTGATGGAGTTGGAGTCATTATGCAGTGTCCCTCCCTGGGGGATCTGCTGTCCCAGACAATGGTATTGCCTCAGAACTATCCCCAARTGCTATCGCTTCTGCAGATTTTTATGTACCAGACAGCTAGAAAGCCTGGATTCCAATCCCAAATCTCTGCCTCCTTAACTGTGTGACCTGAACGAAGGGTTGCCCACCTGAACCTCCATTTGCTCATCTGTTGAGTGAAACACAGTGGATTTGGTAAGAGC